CTAAGTGTGTCATTTACTTTCAGTATCCAAAGAAATGCCATTGTGAGGTCCATCCATCCATCCATCCATCCATCAAGACACTCACACTCCAGAATTTTCTGGCCTCTTTGCAACATCTTACACCAGAAGTATTCCAATATAAATTTTGAAGGTCCGCTAAGGCTCTATCAAATAATCAAAGGTTCAATTAAACAGTCAACCCACAGGCCAGAAACTGTCATATTCAAAGTTCCTTTTCACTCAAAACAATAAACATACGGGACAAAAAAAAAAAAAAACTTTTTAAGTTATATATAGCTTTACATACTTAAACAAGAAACTTATGCAAATTAATATTAAAGGGCAAATAAGGGGGAAAAAGTATAATTGTAAAATGATTCAATGAATTCAGGAGTTTAAAATGCTTTCTAAATAAAAAACTCAACCCCTCCATAGAGTCATTTTGTAAACAAATACTCCTGAATGACAGAAATGTCCAGTTATTCCTGTTAACATGACTGAATTCTGTCACAAGTGATGGCCAGGCTGACACTTTGGTCAAGTTGGAAATCTTTACCTAAGGAACAGTTTCTTACCCAAACTATGCCGACCACCAACATCAGTTTTCACTGGTGCGTTCAACAGTCTGACCCTATCAACAGATTGTTGTCACTTCTTTACCACAAAGTCATGGAACAGTTGCTTTTCAGACCTGGAAAATCCGGAATGGATCAATATCCATTGTGTTTTCTGGATCAGGATCCAGACTGAGAACAAACTGCAGACAGCATGTTAGCAGCTGAGCCAGAAACAGATGGCTCACAGGCCGCATGTGGACCGCTGTCCTACAGGAAACTTTGCTGGAGGCAGCATTTATATGAATGGTGGCCGGCATGCACCAGGATATTCGTCTGGTCCTGATGCTCTTCATGCTTCTATCACCATGTCAATACTCCAAGTAACTTTTTGCAACTTGTGCACATCCCATTGCTGCATACTTTGCTCTCATTGGATCTGTATTGACCAATCCACACTTTCAAATGTTATCAACAAGTATCACATCATGCTCATACAAGAACTATATCACTACATCACTGTTGGAGTAGGGCTGCCAGCTGTGGAGAAAGGTGTGCACTTCTAACTGTGGACTGGTTGCTAAGAGACAGAAGGGAGTTGTAAGTTGCACCAACCAAAAAAAAGGCTGAAACATTGGTGGTCCAAAAACATTTTACTTTGGGAAAGCTCAAAAAGTGCTATCATATGTAGTGATCAGCGGTAAGTTTATTATTATTATTATTATTATTATTGTGCAGTTGGTAGAGCTGTTGCCTTGCAGCAAGAAGGTTCTGGGTTCGATTCCCAGCCTGGTCTTTCTGCATGGAGTTTGCATGTTCTCCCTCTGCATGCTGGGTTCTCTCTGGGTATTCCGGCTTCCTTCCATAGTCCAAAAACATGACTGTCAGGTTAATTGGTCTCTCTAAATTCTCACTAGGTGTGAGTGTGTGTGTGCATGGTTGTGTGTCCTGTCTGTCTCTGTGTTGCACTGCGTCAGACTGGCGACCTGTCCAGGGTGACCCCGCCTCTCGCCCGGAACGTTGGCTGGAGAGGCACCAGCAACCCTCCTGAGATCACTAGGGACAAAGGTGTTATAAAATGGATGGATATTATTATTTTTATTTTCTTTTTTGTATGAGAGGCTGAAAATATCTTATGTTTTTGTCTTGTTTTCTTTTTCTTCTGAGTTCAGGTTTCATTGTGAATGTAACAGGCAATTATTCTAACTACCAAAAAATGTCCACTGACATGGAATCAAGAAAACTTGAAAAATTGTTAAAACTGCATCTGCACCAATCCGATATCAATATCTGTATCAGTCCCGATACTGAAAAAAAAAAATTGTATCAGGTTACCTGAGAAAATGTGTCCAATCCACAAGGGCAGATCTATTCAGTCTAATTCTATGCTTTGTGCATTTATTATTTGTTTTACATTACAATCAGAATTCCTAATTCCACCTTCTGAACAATTTGAAAGGTTTATTGCAGTTTAATTTTTAACTTGTTTTTCCAAGACAGTCAACCTATTGTTTTAGTTCAGTTTCTGTATTATTTATTTTAAATTGGCTGTTATAATCCTTATTATATCTCAATCATAATAAACAAAGAAACCTCTAATTGCACTGACAGTTGTGTTTTTACATTTGTTAGCTTGTGAAGCTGTTGGTGTGTTTCAGTTAGCTGCTGTCGTGGCGCAGAGTCATCAAATAAATTTGTAATTCAGCACATTTCTGTCTGTGTTTAAAAAAGAAACATTTTAACTCAGTTCAATTCTGGTTTTGTGTTTCAGCTGATGCTAACCCTCTGGTATCTGTTTTGGTATCGGAAGCCAAAAAAGTGGATTTGTAGATTCTTAGTTTTAACAAGAAATGACTGCCGTCTCTTCAGATTTATATTGTGTCTTTTTGCTCCTGCCTTCATGATGCATGTTGCTGCATTTGATAAAAGGCAAACAGAAAAGAGCTTGTTTCAACAATGTGTCAGTCTATGCTTGGGATTGTGGGCTGTTTACATATTAAAGCTGCTCACTGTGAGAGCAAGCTGCACAAACAGAGGCCAGTGTCACATAAACCAGCTGAGCATGAACACTCAGGCTGGTCACACTGCAGGTCTCCTGTACGCAAATTAAACATGCAAACCTAAATAAATTAGACCATTAGCCCACAGAGTTAAATATGCACAACTCCAGTCATATCAAGTCAAATGTTTTATGCATGCTACCTCCACACCCTGAAGTGGTGAAGCTGCTCATAGCCTCTGAAGCTTCATTTACACTAAAGGAATGGCGTCTCATGCTAGAAAGAGTGGAATTTGAATTGGACTGCTGCAGTTTCTGAAGCCGCATGTTCCACAAGACAGGCTATTTTTTTTTCTGAAAAATAAAAATAAACCTGCATATTGTTATGCATAGAATGGACTGTGTAAAAAGAAAATTAACAGCCATTATGCCTGGAGGAAGTATGAAGATAGAATACCAATGTGACTGAAGAAAAATGTACATAATGAACATGTCTGTCGTCTGCATGCTTTGTGTAACTTTTATTTCTCTGGAATGTTTATACNGGTCGAGTCCGAGACGAGACCGAGACCATCAAAAAATGGTCTTAAGACCGGTCTCGAGACCAAGACCAACTTCGAGTACCACACAACACTGGTCATGAGTTTTTAGGGTTTTCTCCACAAAAGAGCTGTTGGAAGGCTCCTTTTGTCTTTTTCTTGTTGGAACCTTTTACATTTTGCATTTGCTACACTAGGTTGAGGAGCACAGAGAGATGAGTATGGCAAGTAACATTCCAATAAATTATTTTTACCTGTATTGTTTTAATAATGTTTGAAAAAAATTGTTTTTATGATAAAAAAATATATATATATATAATAAAAATGTTTGATTAAAAAATCTATTAGATTTATTATTTTTTGTTTTTGCATATTTTTTTCTCCTCATCTGCCATCCATTTTCTGAGTCCCACTTGTGGTCCTGAAGGGGCTGGAGCCTCCAATTTGAAAATTGCATACTAAGTCAAATCGGTTTTCTGCTAGTTTTTTCTCTCTTGTGCTCGGTGAAGACGGACGCTTTTTTCCTCTGCTCCCTCCCTGCCCTTGTCTGCCCTGGTTGCTCTGTTTTTGTCCTGTCTTTTTCTGTATTTTTGGAGCCTTTCTTTGCACATCATCCAAATCTACAAATTATGGATCTGGTCAACTGATCTCTCAATGCAATTAATCAAATTTTCTTGATGAGAAGACTGGACACATGAGAGCCCTTTTGTCCTGTGGGGACAAACCCGGCGGGATTCACCCTGGATTTATTCATGACAACAGGATTTCTGCTGTTTGGAGCTTGTTGATTCCTGGCTTATCAACAAATTTGTGACGGACTTGGGTGAACTAGCGAACACTTAGACTGTTGGTGTGGACGGAGATGCAAGTTGGATGTGAGTCTTGCTGAGATTCACAGCCCAGCTGAGAACTCCAAAACTCACTAACGGAATGGAATCGATCTGGGAGAAGTTGATAGATTCGGTTCAGTGGAGCGGCCAAACTAATTTGGATAATTGGCAACTGAGATGTACCAGAGAGACTTTAGGGAAAATAGAAATGTATAATCTACCCGACCTAAGACATTCTGTATCTGAATTGACTTTCCCGTGTTGCCTTCTAAGGGCTGCATATTTCCAATCACCTTGAAGATATTTAAACATAACACTCCTTCCCACCTCAACCCCTCCTGTTATCCATACAGCTGTGCAGCTGAGCGCTCCCAAGGACATGCCTTGATAACAACATCTTATCAGACTTCTGCCGGGAGGCTGAGCAACGTGGTTTCATGGCCCTGTGATGTAACCACCTTCAATCATGTCTTTGTTTTGCCCTTCGTTTTGTCTGAATGTTGCCATGTGTCCTTTCCTCTTTTTTATTTTATTTTGTTAAAAACTGTGGAATACTCACTTCTAACCCAGAAAAGGAATAAAAAACACTCAGTTTTTTATTATTACTTAGAAACTGTGGAGTACTTATTACTTTTACAAATTTAGAGCACACTTAGAAAGTCCAGAGAATACTTACTTATACTTATATAGCATCCCAGAACAAGGATTAGAACTTGGAACCCAGAAAAACTACCTTAGCAATTACTTTTTAGACTCCTATTCTCCCAACCTAGAAAAGGAATTAGACCAGAAGATACTTACTTACACTTATCTACCAACCCTGAATATGAGTGTCTAGTTTATTTACTTTGGATCAGCATTAGATTATTTTTCTTCTTTTGCTCTTTCCTTTGGTTTGTTATTATTTTGTTTGTATTTCCTTTTAATTCCTGTAAAGCACTTTGTATTGCCTTGTTGCTGAAAATGTCCTGTATAAATAAAATTACCTTTACTTTTAGTTTGAATACACAATGGATCTTAATATGAGGGATGACATACAATGATGTTTGAATACTGGGTATTATGCTAGTGTTGTTACCTCCAAATGAGAAGCTTGCTGGCAATGTTTGATCAGCTCCATGGCTGTGCTGAGTCTGTTTCTGATTAACTCCATGGACCCTTTCTGAGCATCTGTGATCTGGCTGACCTGACACCTGAGAAGAGAGTGTTTGGCCTTGATAGACTTCAAATTTTCCAGGATCCCAGTCACATTTTCCTGCACAGAAAATCATTAGCCCAACTTTAATTTTAAAGTGTTAATCTCTACTTTACTATATTGCAGTGAGTGACTATTTCAAAGCATTCACTGTTTTCCATCATTCAGATTGTTATGAAACAGATAATCTGTGAATAGATTTATCTCCTCCACCTCCTCCCTGAGTTACTATTGCCGCCTGAAGAAATGTACCACTCTCAACCAAAAACAACCAATCGGAGCCAAGAGGAGGATCTTAGCGATGTCAGCCAAACTCATGTACTCACTGCTAAATGTGGTAATGGTAGAGAAACAACTTCCCCGCTACAGGAAAACCGTTTATCTGCCGTCATTGGTAGCCAATGGCGTCATTGATGGAATGCTCACACTATGCTAGCTGATAGCCTGGCTCATATCAGCTGTACCAGGCTAGCATAGCCTGAAAATTCACAAGAAGCTATGCTAGCGCTAGTGTAACAGAGAGTAGAGGGGAAAGAGGATGAGCAGCGCCACACAAGATTGTGATTGATAGTGCTAAGATCCTGGTTCTGATAGCTAGTTTCAAGGTAGCACTGGGAGAAGGCAGAGGAGCTTAATTTTTTTCACAGATTATCTGTCTCTTACCATACTTACACAACATAGTGACTATTTTAACAAATATGTAAAAAAAAAAAAAAATTATAAAAGTTATGTACTACAGCTGTAACATATTGTAATTACTATGGGGCAATGGCCTAAGTTATAAACCAGACAGAGGGTAGTGCCAGTGGCCTCGTAATTTTTGAATAGGAGGGAAAATATGATCAGCTGAACCTTTAAATTACCTGCTTCAAATTGTCATACAATTTGCAGTTTTGTGTACATTACAGAGGATGTTCAAAAACCTCAATTAATACTGTTGTCTATGTTCCTGTTTTCCAACAAATCTGACAATAACTGAGGAAAATGCATTTAGAACCAGCTTAAGCACATACATATTGTCTTATAAAAAACAGAAATACTGGGAGAAAGACAGCTTTCTGTGAGTTATCACCTTAGCAAAGCTTCCTCTCGCTGAAGCACCGTTGATAAAATCCAGCTTCAGCCGCCTTTCAATGTACTCCAGGTCTGCCTCTGACTTCAAGAACTGAAATGATATGAATACAAAAAAAGGTTTTTCTCTGAAAAGATGAAAGACACCAAAGTGGAGCTGTGGAGTCTTCTTGACGATGACCAATTTATTATTCAAGCATGTACCTTTCAGGGTTTCCCCACGAAAACTTCCTAAGCCCGGTGGTCGGGGCACCGTGGCGGTCCACTAAGGTTTTGTATTAAAAGATGTTAAATTGACAGGAAAGGTAAAATATTACTGGATAATTATGTTACTGGAAGACATTGCAGACAATACTTATACCCACAAATACAATTAAAATAATTATTTGCACTTCTGTTAATCCAAATTCAGTTATTCAATAATTCAATAATTAAATTATCTAAAAATATGATGCAATGCTGATCACATTTAGAACCGACCCAAGGCATAAATGAACAGATTATTAATGCAGTTAAATTTGATTCAATGGTTTCAGCATAGATAAATTAAAAGATTATAAATTGTTCAACATTTAAAATTTAAGATTTTAAGGAGCTGGCAAGTTTTACAAGTTTTGTAAAAGTTCAAAGTACAATCTTCATAGTTAGATTGTTTTGTTACCATAGCAACAATCTGATTCTCTCAGTTTAATCTTTGAGTTTTAGCTGTTCATTAATGCATCTTGGTAAACTACAATTAGAATTGATTGCTCGGTCAATTCAACTAGAGCCTCTCTCCCAGATTTCACTAAATCCATGTTGAAATGCTGTTAGTGGTGCTGATGTCTGGAGCAAGAGGGGCCCCTAAATCAAATTCTAGCCTCATTCATAGGCACAAATCTTGGGGGTTTGGGGGGGGCCCGGCCCCCCCCCCCCCCAATCTTGGAAAAGTCTAGAATCCTCCACAGGCTGAACCCCCAGTCCATAGCACACTGGCTAACCGGTGTGAGGACAACTTCCTGAAGGACTGGTCCCCACCAACTTTGGCCTGATGGGGACAGTCCCTACCAATATTTCCTGCTCCTTTCTTTTTCTTTATGTGCCTGCATCCATGTGCGGACAGTAACTCGGTAGCAGCTGCACACTGTATTCAAAGCATTAACAATTAGTAAATGATTTTTAAAATTCCTTAGTAAAACGTAAATGCCAGGTCCGCTCAGTGATCTAGTGGATTACACATCACGTAACTTACTGTGCTGTGGCTTTGCAGTGAGTCAGTAATATCGGTGGTCGAGAAAATTACACAATCAAGCAAAGAATCTGAAAAAGGGACGCAAAGTTTTCATATTAATTGAAAACGCAAGATAACAAGGTCAAAAGGGAATCACTTAACAGGTCAGTAAAAAAGCTTTAATTAAAAATGTATATTTTAAAGTGGAGAGTAGGTGGGAGTCACGTGATGCACCCACTGCAGACGTGTGTTGGTGAGCTCCAGGTAGACCTCAGCAGTGATGAGGTCTACCTTTATACTGATGACTACATTGCTCCAAATACTGAATTAATTCCTGAAACAGTGGACAAATACTTACTATTCAAACCTGACTAATTGGTGCTGAAACCTAGCCGTTTTTGGAAGTTTTTCGTCGACTCAAGGGAGAGTCCTCTCACGTGGAGAAGATGGCGACTGAGCAAGATAAAACCAACATTGAAATACCTGATGAAGGCTATCCGTGAATCGAAAGAAGAGCTCACTGGGCATATTAATCAAAAAACGGATAGTATCCAACAGTCGCTAACAAAAATAAAACTGGCATTATCAACACTGGCTGAACAGGTGCAGGAAATGGAGACCAGAATTGGAGCTAACGAAGACAACCTCGCTGACGAACAAGCACGTATACTTAAAATGGAGAGGGATGTAACTTTCCTGAAGGACAAAACCAACGACTTGGAAAACCGGAGTAGGAGGTCAAATGTCAAAATCATAAACATCCCAGAAAAGTCAGAAGGTACCGACATGGTTGGTTATGTGGAACGAATAATCCCGCGGCTTCTTGGGGAGGAACACTTCCCAACCCCGGTTACTATCGAGAAGGCACACCGCCTGGGGAGACCGTCGGAGCGGACCAGACCTATCCTCGTGAAATTTCTGAACTTCAGGGACAAAGACAAAGTACTTCATTTGGCCAGGGGCAAGGGAACAGTGCAGTTGGATAATAAGACTAATAAAACTGTTAACGGTAAAATGAGGTTACACAAGATAATCCATAATTACTAGATATCGCTGAAATGCTAAACCATATGAGGCACATATGTGTTTGATTATAATACGTGTACACTAGGTAGATTTTGTTAAGTAGAGTTAATATAGCTCTTGAGTATTTTGCCTTTTTTTCTTTTTCTCGTTGGAGCAATCATATTATTCTTTTTCAGAAAAATTGTTCTCTGATGAGGATACCATAAATGTTTAGAAGAAGTGGGTTAGAGTTTAACCCACAATTTGTTGTTGTTGTTGTTTTTTTTTTTTTTTGTTTA